AACAGGAACGAAGGAACAATGAATCTTGTAAGTGACAATTCAGAGAAGATGTGGAAATGATACATTTGACGCATGATATTCACAATTTACAAAACCACCATGTGATTGTGCATTCAACAATTAATTATTTTTCCCCACCTTAGTGTTAGTTCATCACTATACTACTAGCTCGGGATTTCAACACTCAGTCCTTGGATCTTACCAAACAGGATATGACCTAATTGGAGTGGTTCTTCGACAGGCTTCTTGCTTTCATTAACAATTTGGAACTGACCAAATACGAGGGTGGTTCCAGGAAATGGTGTTAGGACAGAAAATTTTCAAAATTAGTGAATTTTTGGATAATTAATAATAATAATTTATTCTCGAATAACAGATTGTTACATGAGGCATGCCGGTTTACAGGCATGATCAAATTGTTAAAGAAGTCACAATTTTCACTGTTGAAAATTACTCAGCTGGGTTGATATTTCATAAGATATGAATGTAAATGGATTTCATAAGAAACATGTAAATATCATACTTGGCGCACTTTATGGAGGTAGCGTTGCAACATACAACTGATGGTCGAGAATAGATACATACGAAGTTGGCGGCTTTTAGAAGTTTCGAACTTATATCCCTCCAGAATATCTGAGGCTTTAATAACGGTGTAGGACGAAGTCACCCGTGCCATATCTGTTTTCGGTGGAGTATTTGCAGGAGGCTGAAAAATGTGTAAGAAAAAGGAAGGACGAAAAGCAGAGCACACAATATTCATGGAGGAATAGTTAAGGTATAGCCATTTAGTCTATTTATCTGTTACTGAAGTATTTATTAGGTAAGAACATACTAATGTGTTAAAGAAAAATAGGTGTGGGCAAGGTATGAGTGGATAAGGAACTGTATAAATGAAGGTAGTTCAGAAGGAAGTATGGAATTGTGTAATTATAAAATAAAGTGCTGAAAACAGTATTCCGATACAAATGACCGTCTCTCTTTACATTAGAAGCTGTTTGAACTCTCTTTTTTTGTTTTTAGATTTTATAGGGTATAGAGTGGGCTTCGTTTTTAGCCAATTGTCTAGTTTGCTTGTATTAGGATTACTCGGTAGGAAGTGGAACCAATTCAGCTTTTTTTAACATGATTCAAAGTGGTATTTTGCATGAATAATTTTGCATCAATACCGTTGGTTCGTGACATCCCATTAGACATAAGGAGCCGTAATTAATATGTTCTGCCCCACAGACACGGGTGGATTGAAGTTATCTCCCCACCATCATGTTTGCTGGTCAGTAACGCTACCCTCCCTCCTTTTGTGATGTTAGGCTCTCTTACGTTTGTGGTCGGTATGAATATTGCTTTTATCAAGGACCTTATTTGGGATACACTGTCTCTACAATTTCCATGTTACAAGCAAATCAGATGGTAATAACATTTGTGTTATAGGTTGGACATCCACTTAATATATCGTACTATTATGAAGATAACTAATGGTAAAGGTTAGAAGAGACAAGTCAAATTATATGTGGTTAAGAGATGGTAAGTGCTAATAGCAAATCAGAGGATATGAAAGAGAATATTGTAAAATTCTCAGGGTAAGAAAAATAAAACATTGAACAACTCACAAGAATTTAGGACATATGAGCTTCTTTTGGTCAGCCTTATTTGGTCAGCATCCATAAGATTAGTGAGTTATCTGTCTACTTGTAATAAGAAAAATAAAAGGATATGACACTTAGGAAGAATAATTTGGATTTATCCATTAGAGATATTCAGAAACTGAAAATGAGGGTTAGAAGCGGAAGGCCATGGTTAATAATCAATAAATAGTGGGGAAGGATTTCCAGGCCGAGGATTTCCATGTCTACTCACCAATAGGAAGTAACGGTTATGGTTTATTCATGTTTTGTGTGATCACAAACAACATACTTTGGAAGGACAAACACGATTAATACTCTAGCTATTCCTAAGGAGACTACTTGACCATGACTTATTACCTTCAAAACGGATCACAGTCACGAGAGCAGTGAAGGCCAATGCACGGACAATGAATTGAGGTGTCATGGCTCGTACATGAAGGCGTGGTCATCACCTGTAACCTTTTGTTTTTGTATCGCATGTATTGCTCTCTACCCAGCCAGAGCTGTGTTCTTCAGTAGGGCAGAAAATCATTTTGCTTGTGATCATGACAGAATGAGTCAACGTAGACTTTGTTGTGATATCAACGTAGGATCCTACATATTAGGTAGTCACGCCATGACAAACCTACAATTTCGGGATTAGGTCTATCATTGTAGTAGTACTAATGCCGAATTAAACCATGATTTAACTCATCCATTCCCTCCGACGTAGACACAGGAAATGGCTAATAATGCGCCAATATGTTTTATTGAACGCACTCCGTGAATGGGATATTATTCCGACCGGGTAGTGTGGTGATTTCATTAAAATTACACTTTAATTCATGAACATTCACATTTGGTGGCTCCAGACCTGACTTCACATGATAATACTGATGCAAATGAGATACATATCTTGTTTATCTTAGGAATAGGAAATCGAATAAGAAAATATTTGGGGAATATGTATTTCACTTATTTGTTACTACGGACGAAGAACAAGAGACAGAACGAAACACTTGCGAACTGGAGTGGTAGAAATAACAAATTATGTTTGATTAAGTGTGACACAACACCTATAACGAAACAGAAAAATGAGCTGAAGATATGTGATGAATAAAATAAGTGTTAAACAAGCTTATTTTTTTGTCTGAAATAGTCAAAGTCATAGGCAAATAGGTGAATAACGTCTCGAAAAGAATTAACAAATTCATCTGCCCAAAAGCCAGAATAACTCATTTTAAGCGTTCCATATGCAAAACAACAGATAGCAAAAAAGTTGGGCATTACAAATTGATATAAACAGTTGTCACTGATCATACTGTAGGGCACCGGTTTGGTGCAAATGATAAGGCGTTTTGTACCAAATTCCTGGTATCGTATCTAAAACATATAAAATCCAAACTACGTTTGGGTGAAGAATAACTGTCCATGTAAGTTAAGATACTCCTGCACCGTAATCGAAGTCAGAACAAGGTTATTGCGGTAACAACGGTTCTGAATTTCCTCGTAAATACAAATGTACTGTTTTACCTAAACAAATATTACAACTCAGTTATTCAAACACCAATTGTTCCCACAATAATCAATCTAAATTACATTAAATAGAAAATTGATAAGAAATATAAGAAAATTACAGAACGATCTAAAAAGTAAGTGTTGTTCTATTCTTTCTGTATAGATCAAGTAAAAATCCACTCAATTAGTTTCTTTGTAACACAAAGTGCTTCAAATTCTGGGAAGGTGCTCCAATTTACAACCAAAAATGCACGATGCCAGTCAAGTGAAGCAGCACAATCAAAGAGGGAACAATCAATATGGCAACCGCCAGTATAAAATATCAATTTAAACAACATAGATACAGTTCAAGGAGAAACATAGAAACCCAGTGAAAGCAACAATAAAACTGAGAAAACTATTATGAAATGAAACATTACAACCTCAAATGGCATCAAAAAGATTAACAATATGTACAAATAGTGAACGCATTAAGAAGTTGCAATTGTATGCACTGAGGGATTTTCACTTACAAAACCTTCAAAATGGATCTTACACAACACTACCACAAAAATGCTGCAAAACAATCGCGTTATTAGCTATGAATGAATTTAGGACTAACACCACATGAGTAAAGTACTTCAAAACGGATCTTGGGTTGTCATAGACTGAAATAGGGATTTCAATACATTAATATAGGCGAGGAAATACAAAGTTTCTAAATACTGACTGACTATTGGTCGAAAATAAAGAACAGAACCCAGTATATCTATACACACAAATAGAACTCTCATTATTGATCGTACTACGCAAATAATTGGTGTGAAAGTATCAAACAGAACCGTTAGTACATTCAGCAGAATACTAAATCAATCCATGAAGTTGACAAGAACAATCTACTATATGACTTAATAGTTATGCAATAATCCTCAGCGCACTGCTGAGGAGTCCCATAATAGGACGAAACGGCCGTCCAGTGCTTCCAGGTTTTCCATGGTGGTCTAGCTTCAATTGACTCATGATTTCAACTTTGAAGTTATGCAATACTTGCGGTTGGATGGTCCTGTAGACCATCAATTGGAGGCCTACTCGACTTAAACGGGGACGGTGTAACGAATAAGCTAACTTCGAAGTTACACCTAGCGACCAGCACTTTACGTGGATTGCCCCATCGACGTTTTAAGGGATCATGGATGCTCTGAAGACTGTACCACACAAAGAACGTTATTACAAGAATATATTAGTTAAAGGAGATACAAGCAAAAGTAGAAACACTGCCACATGGGCCAGTCCATGGCGTACGATTGACTGATGCGCGTTGATTGTCCTTGACCCTGATGGGGATTGATGATCTGTTCGATATTCAGTTACCCGACTGCCGGATGATTTGGCTAGGGTTCAGTGACATTTCACTGGATCTACAGTCCCGACAAGCTAGCCTCTCCGATCCTGAACATGATATATTACACCATGTGAACTCGTCAGAGCTATGATGAGAATCAAACATATGATGAGTCCGATGATTATTTGACAAAGTAATACTTCCCTGAATTCACAATTCCACGTGGAACCTGAAGGGATCACCACTAGGTCTGTAATGGAGTTAAAAAGTCGTAAAAACCACCTTATTCACCGTAATAATCCGATACTCTGTTTTTGCGTCTGATCATTATCATTATCTAGGAATCCCGAAATTTTGAGTGTTTTACCCTTATAATAATATTAACCATGATATTTCTTTATTGATAACTTGTGAGGTGAAATCTTAAGGTTCAACGCACTTAACAGAATACTAAATTTCAATACAAGAAGTAGATAATTTAAAATACAGTCTTGACTATTTTCCATGTAAACGAAATATCTACATCATAAACCTCGGGTGGTGTTTCACTACATAATTATGGACTGTTTCTCAAGGTTAATTATTTAAGCAAATTCGAAAAGAAATTTTTCGATCAATCGTAAGACTATGTGTTTAAGGCATCATGAGATTATGTTTGTTATTTTTCCTTCGCTTTTTTTTACCTATCCTCACACTCTTTAAAAGCATAAAACTCACCTTCAGGCTAAACGCGAATCATTATAAAATGTCATATCAGATCTACTCATAGGCTTATGTTAGATATCCTACCGAGTTTGACCACACGATTTCTGGACTTACTTCTCAGTTCACATTTTGACAGCATTCTGTCAGTGTTAGCTGCTGACAGCTCGTTTCCTTAGTAAATGTGCATTATTCGTTGTTTTTTCTTCAGTCATTGTGCCTATTATTTGTTTCAAACTATTAAAACAACAACGGTTAGTTAGGATAGACTGGAGTTGTACGTTCTTCTTGGGTTCTCAAATGTTTATCTTTCGAATCTACACTGCAATTGAACCCAACACATCTTGTTTCTTATTTCAGTGTACAAATTGTGTTGGATTCAAGATTTAATCTTCCGACATTGCTGTTTATGATTGCATTTTCTAACATTCTCAAAAAATTATGTGAGGAGGTAGGACCTACATAATAAAAACCTCTAGGCAGTCCAGAGGTTGGTACCTATTTTCACCCTGGCTTGCTTTGTCCTAACGTTCACATTTTCAGTTTTGTCCAGCCTTATAAATATATCTCAGAATAGAAAGTTAACTCCATACTGCCAAACCTCAGATCATTTGAATCTTCTCCTCTGAGATTAACTTAATCGATTGTATTTAGCATTCATGTGGCTTAAATTGTTGATCATTGAGTCGAGTTATCCTGATGATCAATAATTTGACAAGTCACTTTATTGAATAATACATATTCCAAATATCACTCTTTTTCTGTTTTCTAGGCAACGTTTCACTTCTTTTGGTGGGATATGATTTCCACTTGTAACCAGTGAATATTAATGACCCATCTACAATCTACAAAGATCAATCTTTTGTTATGACGTTTAAGCAGCACGTCTTGAGTCATGGTCAGGAGGATTTTAAAGACGTCCTTGATAATTTGAAAGAAACTGATTTTCGCGTGTATCGAACAAGATGGATTATTGTCTTTACATTTGCCTCACTGAGTTGTACAAATGCTTATTTGTGGATATCTTATTCCCCCATTGCTAACTACTTCGTTGAGTTTTACTCAACAAGTAACATGGTTCTCAATCTCATTTCTCTAATTTACCCTTTGACTACGATAGTACTTGGCTTCCCAATAGCTTATGTCATAGATTATCTTGGAGTACGTTTCATTGTCTTATGTACGGCCATTTGTAACTTATTGTGTGGGTGCATGCGCGTTTTCAGTAGCGCACCATATATAAATATTTCATCCCCTGGACGTCTCATTTTGATAGTATTCGGGCAGGTAATCGCTTCTTTTGCCCAACCATTCTGCTTGTTCTCCACAACCAGTCTTGCGTGCGATTGGTTCCCCGACAATCAGCGTACCACCGCAAACACTATTGCATCGCTTGGAAATTCAGTAGGCATATTGCTCGGCAATTCATTTGCCCCTAATTATGTCAAGAGTTCTTCCGATATTGTTAGTTTCAATTACATATCCTTGGGATTGGTTGCTGTTCAGTTCTTCCTGTCAATACTTTTAGTCCGTAGAGGTAAACCAATCACACCCCCTTCATATGTGGCGACCGTGGCTATAGCCAATCGTCGAGTCAACTCAAACAGACATTTTATTTCACTTCATTCTTTATGCGACTTTTTGAAAGCGTTTGCCCCACCTCTTAAGCTCTATGGTTTTTGGATTATTACAATTACATTCAGTAGTTGCATCGGATATTTTACTGTCTTATCGGCCCTCTTACAGCAAATTTTGTGTACTAAAGGTTACTCCAACCAGTTTGCTGGGTTTTGTGGATCAATCACAATAGCTGCAGGCTTAGTAGCAGCTGGCCCTATTGCATTATTTGTGGATAGAACGGGATTTCTTATTGAAACATTAAAGGTATGTGTTTTTTTTAGAAATTCATAAATTTGTGATTCAATAAGTATGTGTTTTGTACAAATCTGTGTAGATAATAAAAAAAAACTTTAGAGGACGAATTGATTTAGTTTAAATTGTTTAATCGACTAAAGGATGGGACTAGATATACCAATTTTTTAGACTTAATTTTATTAAATGATAAAAATTATTTAATTAGTTCTGATCACTTTATAAAATCACGAAATCAGTAATAGTAAATTATGTTCTAAAGTTCAGAAGTTAAAATGATTACGACATACATTGGTATTACTTGTTTTTAATCTACCCTACGATTTTTATATCAATTCGTATAGCTCTAAATACAATATACCCTTAACTGCACACAAGACCAAGTTGGTCGCTTTCAAATCCTTCCTACACCTAATAACTCTGTTATCTCCTCGACTAACCCTTCCCACGTCCTTTTATCGCGTCGCACCGCTAGGGCAAACGATTCGAGTACACAGAACGTTATTCCTGGTCTCCTAAAACCACGCTCTAAACTACATATAGGAACTTTTAATGTCCGAACATTGTGCCAAATAGAACAACAGGCTTCCTTAGCTAGGACTCTAGAATCTTACACCATCGATGTGTGCTGCGTCTCCGAAACGCGCATACAAGATCCGAGTAGTGTCATTCATTTGACCTCACCTAATCAAAATGAAGTTTCATCTCGATACATGCTCCGTGTATCTGGAAGCCCTGACGCTGCTTCCCGTGGCCTCGCTGGAGTAGGTATAGCATTAAGTCCTAGGGCAGAACTAGCTCTTTTAGACTGGATCCCAGTAGACAGTCGTCTATGCGCTGTTCGACTAGACGGATCAGTAAGGACTCGGAAAGATAGGGAAACTCGTCGTTGCCTCTTCGTCGTCTCTGCCTACTCTCCCACAGACTGCAGCTCAGACGATATAAAAGATGAGTTCTACAGGAAACTTTCTGACCTTCTCCGAGAAGCTAGGCGTTCTGATGTAGTAATAGTAGCAGGTGACTTTAATGCTCAAGTAGGTAAACTAAGTGAAAGGGAAGGACACCTGGGTGGATCTTATGGTGTCATGGCGAAAAGAACAGATAATGGCGACCGTCTGTTGCAGCTATGCTCAGATAACCGCCTATTTCTTGCAAATACTAACTTTAAGCATAAGGAAAAACATCTTTTGACCTGGCGACCCCCGAATTCGTCCCAACGTTGGACCCAATTAGATCACATCGCTATCAGCCACCGATGGAGGGGCTCGATAGAAGACTGTCGCTCATTCTGGGGCACATGCTTAGATTCAGATCATGCTCTAGTGCGAGCACGTATTTGTCTGCGTCTTACTGGACGTAGGAAAGACACTGCAGGGAAGCCTCTAAGGGTTCTACTTAATGATAGGCAAGCTAAGAATATATTTCAGGAACAACTAGAAAAACAGTTAGGCAGCCATGTAAGTTGTGTCCACCCCGAGGCAGCGTGGAATGACATCCGAAAAGCTGTGAAATCAGCAGTGATATCCGCTAATAAGGTAAACCATAACGTTAGGGAGAAACAATGGATCTCGGCAGCATCTACCGCATTGATAGATGCTCGTAAACTCATCCCACCTGGCTCTGAGCATAACGAGGAGCGGAGTCAACTTAATCGCAGGCTTATAAGAAGTCTACGTAATGATCGTGAACAGTGGTGGGTAGCGAAAGCAAGAGAGATGGAAAAGGCAGCGGCAATAGGTAACAGTAGGCAGCTATTCAGACTCGTTAAAGAAACCGGTATTAGGAACCCGAATATCAGTGAAACCATTTCAGATAAAGATGGGCATATTATTCATTCTCAATCCAGGAAGTTGGATCGATGGGCAGAACACTTTAGGGATCAGTTCAACTGGTCTTCAGCCACACTTCAATTACCCACGATCCCCAGTCGTCCTGAATGGCAAATTGATGTAAGTCCTCCAACCCTCTGTGAGGTTGAAAAAGCTATAGGAAATCTGAAGCGAGGGAGAGCAGCAGGCCCTGACAGGTTGACCCCTGAGATTTTTAAGGATGGTGGTCCAGTACTAGCAGTGAGATTGACTGAGGTCTTAGGTAGAATCTGGGAACTGGACGTAATTCCATCTGACTGGTCCCAATCACTGATTGTGCCAGTCTATAAGAAAGGACAAAAGTCCTCTTGTGACAATCACAGAGGGATCAGTTTGACTAATATAGTGTCTAAAATATTAGCTTCAATAATACTAGGTCGCCTAACCAAAGCTCGTGAAGAGCAGACTAGAGAAAACCAAGTTGGTTTTCGACCTGGACGTGGTTGCATAGACCAGATATTCACCCTACGTCAGGTTCTAGAACATAGACACAAATTCAAACGTCCCACAATAGTAGTATTTCTTGACCTTAAGGCGGCATTTGACTCTGTTGATCGTGAGGTTCTATGGCAATGTTTGTCACTGAAAGGAGTACCAAAGAAGTACATTAACCTCATAAAGGCTCTCTACTCGAGCACAACTGGTCGAGTTAGAGCCTATGGCGAACTGTCATCACAACTGATTACCACAAGTGGCGTTCGTCAGGGCTGTCCACTCTCCCCATTCTTGTTTAACTTTGTCATTGACTTACTTTTAGAGATAGCACTTTCATCAGCTAAACCTCCAGGAGTTGAACTTTTACCAGGAGGCTCACTTGTTGACTTAGAATACGCCGACGACATAGTTTTACTCGGTGAAGACGCTGACAACATGCAGAGTCTTCTGACCACTATAAGCAACAATGCAGGCATGTTCGGGATGCGATTCTCTCCCTCGAAGTGCAAAATGTTACTTCAGGATTGGGTTGTATCGGCACCTGAACTAATGATAGGGAGTGAAGTAGTTGAGCGTGTAGACCACTTCACTTATCTTGGGAGTCTCATCAGCCCTTGTGGTCTGGTATGTGACGAAATCTCAGCACGGATACAGAAGGCTCGTCTAGCTTTCGCCAACTTGCGTCATTTATGGCGTAGGCGAGATATCCGTCTAGCAACCAAAGGACGGGTTTACTGTGCAGCAGTTCGCTCCGTCCTACTCTATGACAGTGAAACATGGCCAATAAGAGTAGAGGATATTCGTAGGCTACTAGTGTTCGATCATAGGTGTCTTCGAAGCATTGCTCGTCTATCCTGGGACCACCGGGTAAGTAATGCAGTTGTTAGGAAACGAGTACTAGGTAGGGATGGCAAATCGATTGATGAAGTAGTGAAACTTCATCAGTTGAGATGGCTGGGACATGTGTTACGAATGCCCGACGTGCAATGTTTCATGGTGTAGGAGTAGGTTGGAAGAAAGCTAGGGGTGGCCAGACCAAAACGTGGCACAAATCAATGAAGTCACTGACAAGTGGACTGGGCCATGTTGGTAGGTGTAGACTACCTGGTTGGGATTCGCGAGATGACAGCAACCGATGGTTAGAGACCTTGAATGACATGGCTCAAAATCGTTTGCAATGGCGAAGGTGCATCCACTCTTTGTGTTCTACCAAATTCTAATCTTCTGAATTCCTCATGTCTTTATCTTTTTCTCTTTCCAAATTTATTTCACTGTACTATACTCCTTCAATAATTTCTTTAAACCCCTAATCTTTTGGATTTCTGATTATACTCCTACTACTTCTACCACTATGGGATTTGAATCGACAACTGCATCTCTGTGCTAATGTGGTATGGCAACTCGAACTGATGTACATACGTACGAAGTTCTACGTTGTGACTGACTGACTAAATACAAACACAATTTCCTAATTTAAGCAAATTTACTCACAGTACTATTTAAAATAAAGAACACAACTGAATTTTTGAGACTTTTGTGCTGAATTTTATTAAAAGAAAAAGTATTTAACAACGGCATAACAAGTGAAATGTAAGTCTGTTACTGGATATTGAAATATATTGCTTTAGCACTGGTCTGCGTTAATACTTAGTGGAGAAGTTAAGTTTGTTGGCTATCTCATTTTTACAGGGGTTCTCAACCCTGGTAGTTTTACCGCTGATATGTCAATACAGACGTAGTTTAAATTATCTTGGGAGTCTCATCGGCCCTTGTGGTCTGGTGTGTGACGAAATCTCAGCGAGAATACAGAAGGTTCGACTAGCTTTCACCAACTTGCGTCACTTATGACGTAAGCGAGATATCCGTCTAACAACCAAAGGACGGGTTTACTGTTCAGCAGTTAATTCCGTCCTACTTTTTGGCAGTGAAACATGGCCGATAAGAGTACAAGATATTCGTAAGCTGCTAGTATTCGATCATAGGTGTATTTGAAGCATTGCTCGTCTATCCTGGGACCACCGAGTAAGTAGTGCAGTCGTTAGGAAACGGGTACTAGGTAGGGATGGCAAATCGATTGATGAAGTAGTGAAACTTCATCAGTTGGTTTGGCTGGGACACGTGTTACGTATGTCCAACCACCGACTGCCCCGACGTGCAATGCTTTATGGTGTAGGAGTAGGTTGTTAGAAAGCTAGGGGCGGCCAGACCAAAACGTGGCACAAATCCATGGAGTCACTGACACTGAGCCATGTTGGTAAGTGTAGACTACCTGGTTGGGATCCGCGAGATGATAGCAACCGATGGTTAGGGACCTTGAATGACATGGCTCAAAATCGTTTGCAATGGCGAAGGTGCATCCACTCTTTGTGTTCTACCAAATTCTAATCTTCTGAATTCTTCATGTCCCTATCCTTTTTTTATTTTCAAATTTATTTCACTGTATTATACTCCTTCAATAACATCTTCAAACCCTAATCTTTCTGGTTACTGATTATACTCTTACTACTTCTATTTGAATCGAAAACTGCATTCCTGTGCTAATGTGGTATGGAAACTTGAACTGATGTACGTACGTACGAAATTCTACGTTGTGACTGACTGATTTTAAATTAATTAACTACCAATCAGATGTGCAACAATTGGAGTTAATGGCACGTTCGTCTATCTGTCAAGTGGTGAGAATACTGTTCAACAACTTGTTCGTGGTTGGTTTACGACTAGTAAATGTGTCTCATGTCAGGAGTAGTTAGAATATTCGTCATACATATTTAGTCATTATATATTCGGATGCTCTATACCATCATATTTAACAGTGTGAAGAGACGTAAACATTATAGTTGGTGCCAACGCACTAACCTTAATCCGTAGTTGTAGACTTTATGTGCTGTGACTTAAAATTTGTTATCAGGGGTCAGTTGGATTAATTTGTATCTTTCTTAAATTCGTGAGCTTAATATCATTCCATACTTCTTGTCCTTTGATCTTATTCGTTAATTTTTAACTATATTTCACATGTTACTATTTCTAATAGGGTTGTCATTATTATTTTACCTTGTTTGGCTTTTCTCTTTCTTTGCTAATGCGAATTATGCTGAACTAAAGTGATGCATATTTGTGTTAGGTCCTAGTTTTCCTGTGACTAATCGGTTAAACATCGAACCACATGTCGTTGTGTACCGAAGTTTTATAATGCTCAATCATTTTTATAGTCATTCTGATAGCCATAACGAGAGTAAAACCTAGCACAGCGCGTATCCACCCAAGTCCCCACATCAAATCACTATAGTTAGATAGAAATTATAAGATAAATGGCGAGAGATTTAAAATAGCAATGATACTGCGAGAGATCATACATAAGGAACTCATTCTAAGAACAAGAAGTGTTGAATAATGTGAGAACTCGATTTAATTGAAAACAAAGGGTGAATCATTCTGAATCACTGGGATCGATATTGAATTATGTCACCTGAGATATCCAGTTATTGATTGAAAGTATCGTCCTGATTCCAACTAGACAAGCTCCACCAATGAATAAGCAGTGACTTGAACTAGTTGCTCATTTTGTTTCCGCCTGCCCTAGTTTTTTCAATCTGTTCATATACTATTCAGCGTTGCTTATAACGTTCTTCGTTTGTCAGTTGACACAACATAGAAATATTAGGGCGTCAGGCAGTGTGGCGTATGAAATAAAATAACGGTTTCGTAAAGAAATATATGTAGGAAGCGTATAAAAAAACGATAATCAATTTTCGAGGGACACACTTCAAGTAAGAAGACAATCATTTTGTGTTTCATCTACTTAAAAGATAGATTCACCTGTTTATTAAACATTAATAGGAAATTACCACAGGGTTATTCATGATCTTTACTATCTTCAGATATATGCTTCCGAAATTGAAGAATATTGAAACAGTGATGTACGTTTTTATTTGAGTATCGCGATATCATATTGTGTTTGTTTTTTATTTGCTTTTATTATTAGATCACATTTTCACTAAGTGTTTTGGGAGCTGTCTGCTTAAGTATCGTATTGTGGTTCCATAACCAGCAAATACTAATCACCATTTGTTTAATTTGGCTTGGAGCATTTGGTTTCTCTCAGTTTTCCCTGTGTTTAGAGCTAGCCGCAGAGGCGACTTATCCAGTTTCTGAAGCAATTACAACCAGCTTTCTTATCATCTCCAACCAAATAATTTCCCTTGTAATGTTGCCTGTTTTACAGTTTACTGCACCTTTAGCTAACAATTCAACTGAAATTATCAGCACTTGTGGTCCTAATGAAGATATCCGGGTAAACAGTTTGCAATAAAACTGATCGTTTTATAATAAATCTATGAGTTCTTAAGAACTATATTTAATATTTTTAGAAACTTATTTCTCAGACTAACCTGTATCAAAAGCTTTATCGTCATTTATGCGTATTATGTTACACTCATCCCACGGGAATAATGCAACACTAAGTTCCAACTACATTATAATACACTATACTCTAATAGAGAATAACTGGATATGATTAGGAATCTCATTGTCACAGTAAGGGATTAGTCTTAAGTTTTTTAATACACCATGGCTTGTGATAAAGCAGTCTTTTTTAGTGTCATAGTATTAAGCAATTACTAAAGCCAGTGAACATTTAACCACTTAAGAATCCCTTATATTACTCTAGTCGGCCCCATGAATTATTGTTTATTTATGTAGTATCTTGCATCATCGCTGTATCTAGTACAAATTAAGAAAACATAATAATTAGAAATTCAACATGGCAGGTGTAATTATTTATCTACCTGTTTAGTGTAAGATAACAAACAAATTTTTTGTACTATTTTTCTTTTGATTATCACTATTAGCCAAAAAATTACTAATATGGGTCATCACATTTGTCATAGTAAACTTATTTTTCAGTAATAAATCTGGTTAGATTATTCAAAATCTTTTATTTAATTGTTATAGACTACCCAACGTGATCATAGAAGACTAAACAGTTTCATCTATTCTTTTGGTAGATACACTTAAAATTACGATGTAGTGTGTAAATTTAGTTTCACTCAACATCGTGTTCAAATCTACCTAATATTGAAATATTGTTACGCCATCTAATCGGAGGCTCATTAACATCACACTAAAACTGTAATTTTAAGCTTCAATATTCAGATGTATTCTTAGGAATTACTAAACACATAAATTAAGAATATCTAACTTTATAAACCGTGTCTTCGAATATTGCTTATTCAAAATGTTATCGGTTGCAGTTGCCATCTCTGAATATGCAACCTTTTGTTTTAAATATTGTTCACTTGGGTTCTGGTTACAGTTTAAGGTGATAATAATAATCACCATAAAAATACTGACGTAAAAGTCATTTAAGTAAATTTCCGCCCTTTTATTTTGTAAATTCGATGTCTGAATAGTGGATATTTTCATGTTAACAATATAATCTATACGTATCTGTATTATTTGTAGTTGATTATATTTGGGATAAGTGATGTTTAGAAGCGATACTTATATAGTTGTACGTTTCTATGGAAAATATTAAATTATTATTGTATACGAAAGATTACCATTGACCTCTCACTTCATTTTTGATTTCTTTAGGATTTCAGTGCACCACATATGGGTTTATGTGCTTTCATGGTTTTATTATCAATTGTCCAACTTTTCACCTTAAAGCTACCATATAAACGACGAGAATGTTTAAATTCTGTTGTAATCTCTATCGGATCTAATAATTCTATCAATGAAGTAAATGATGAAATTCAAGAGGATCTCGATTAGGAACAAAGACAAATAGTGTAACACATCTTATTTATTGTAATTATTTTCTCTATTTATCCATTTAATCCTTATGATTTCTTATACTGAAAAGTTGGAATCACGTTTATTTATTTGTCTGCATAATAGGTAATATTTATTCTCTATTATTTTTCGATCTTTTTTGATTGCGGGGTTTATGAATTACTTTTGAGCCATTTATTTATTGACTGATATATTTATATATATCTTGTTTAAAAATACAACTGATTACTCAATAATGAACAATATTATTATTACTGCAAAAAACACACCACATCCCGCACAATGAATTTCGATTTGTTTACATAGTATTCATTGTTCAAAGTTAGGTAAATGAATGTTTACTTAATATTGTTACAATATTTTTAATGAAGTAATATAATTTTGTTGGTATAGCTACAAACCTTCAATAGACAGGATTAATTGTCGATATAACCTTGGTTGTCCTTTTAGAAAAACGTAACGGATAGATATCTATCTGTATCTCCTATTTTTAATGTAAATCATTGACCAAATACCAATTAATATGTAATTAACTCTGCAGCATATATCATATCTAAGAGCTGGTAAGGCTGCCGAAACTCAAGAAGTGATTCTTAGTATTTAGAAGTCAAGTTCTTTAATCGCCAAAATGTCATTTTACCGCAAAAATTTGATAACTAGCTTCTGATTACCAGTCAAACTATTCGAGGGATGCAGTCTGTCCAAAAAACTTAGTGGTTAGATACGATATCGTTAAGCATTTGATCTCATGTTTAAAAGTAACCATCTCAGATTTATTCATTGAGACTTCCTGATTAATGCCACTCATCAATCATTAAAGCCTTTATGAAACTTATAAATTTGTAACGAATTCAAATATGAAGCGTTTTACTGCTACGAATATATTACAATTAAGCTATCTATAGCTTACACCTATCCTTATGGTCTAGACCATTATCTCAAGCAATAAAGACAGAAATGCCTAATAAAGGATTAGTTTAGGATAAATGAGTTCATAGAAACCTGACCGTTTTATTACCCTTCCACATATCTAAGATGTGCAGCTATTATTCGAGTACATGAACAAGTTTTCGGTTATTGACTCATGTTAAACCAACTTAGCGCACACTATGTGAGTTTACGTGCATACATCAAACGGAGTCATCTCGCGGAAATTACGAGTGAACAGAATATGAAAAATTTAAATAGAATCGGCATGGATGCGTCTTATTACTTTTGCCTAAATTATTAATTAACGAACCAATAGATTGTTTATCATAATCATCCTTAAAGTTTATATTAAATGCCGACAAAAGGATCAAGCAATGTTTCGGTATTTAATTCACTTTGAATTATAATCCGTATAAATATAAAATTATCACAGTTTAATTTCATGAGAATAAAATTTATAACAAAGATATATATTACTTTCACTAACCGAAATGATCTTGATTTTTCGGATCAGACTGTCAGGACAAACATTGTAACAGTTAACCTTCAGTCGTGAAAATCTTAACAATGGCCATAGAATGTCTTCTGACCCGGATGCCGATTTTCCTGCATCCATTCCCCTAAATCTCGACAAAACTTCATTTAAAGCATTTTTATTAATTTACAAGAGATTCAACACCTTTATATATTGGTTGCAAACTAAACCCTAGAAATGCTTTGTACCTATAATTTGTATTTTAATTACAATCCTTCTAAATTGTTTCGTGTAGTACATACAGATGTATTTAAAGCTGATTAGGTAAAATTAATACAAACAGAATTAATTAAAGGAGTTTTCTGAAGTTTTCATGAGAACCGAAAGTAATAAACCTTAGCGCAGACATTCCTATTATGTAATTTTAATTGCTATCCAGTTTTCTGATTAATTTCTTGTTAAAATCTATTATTTTTAGTGGTCGGACATCGTTCAACTAATTTATAAGTTTTGTGAACAGATTCATGTCATTGATAGGTTCTAAATATCAACTTCTAGAGAGAGGTTACCTACTGAATATTTTTATCCCTTAAATATTCTCACTATCTAAAACATCTTTTATTATTTTTTTTTTTAAAAAAAATTATTAGAAGTATGGCTTCTCTGCATGACTTAGAAAAGTAAAAATCAAAGATCTATTCTGTATGTATGTAGCATCTGATCCATCACTAAATTATTTAAAAGGTCATTTCTCATTTATAGGAAATTGAACGTACACATCTCTAAAACTGCCTAAAAATTAGCAACATGAAATAGAGCCGAATTTATATATGCAGAAACAATTTGTACAATTCATATTCTTATCATGATTCTACCTTTATATTTCTTAATTTTCTTTAACATTTCACTTTACGGTTTTGTCCCTCTATTTGTTCAAGTAACATGTAAACTTATCATTTTTTACTTCACGACGCCCAACCATCTACTTCACTAAAATTCTGAAATTTAATTCATCCTAATTTTATCACTGCATTAATTACATCCGCCTGTTACTTCCAATGGGGCATAGGCCGCCGACCAGCTTTCTCCAACCCACTCTGTCCTGGGCTTTCTTTTCTAGTTCTATCCAGTTCTTGTTCATTCTTCTCATGTCTATCTCTATTTCTCGGCATATTGTGTTCTTTGGTCTTTCTCTTCTCCTTTGACCTTCAGGATTTCATGTGAGGGCTTGTCTTGTGACGCAGTTGGGTGATTTCCTCAAAGTGTCCCCAATCCACTTCCAGCGCTTCCTCCTGATTTCTTCCTCCGCTGGAATCTGGTTTGTTGTCTCCCACAGTAACTTGTTGCTGATAGTGTCTGGCCATCGGATCCGAAGTATCTTGCGTAGACAACTGTTAATAAACACTTGTATCTTCTGGATAATGGCTTTCGTAGTTCTCCACGTCTCCGCCCCATACAGAAGAACTGTCTTGACATTTGTATTGAAAATTCTAACCTTGGTGTTGGTTGACAATTGTTTTGAGCTCCAGATGTTCGTTAGTTGTGAATATGCTGCTCTTGCTTTGCCGATCCGCGCCCTCACATCTGCATCTGATCCACCGTGTTCATCAATGATGCTGCCCAGATATGTAAAGGTTTCCACATCTTCTAAAGCTTCTCCGTCAAGTGTAATTTGATTGGTGCATATTGTATTGTATCGGAGAGTCTTGCTTTTCTCTTTGTTTATATTGAGACCTACCGCTGCTGAGGCTGCTGCTACACTGATCGTTTTCTCCTGCATTTGTTGCGTTTGTGATAGAAGAGCCAGATCATCCGCGAAGTCTAGATTGTCCAGCTGCATCCTGCCTGTCCACTGTATTCCGTGATTTCCTCCAGTTGTTGACGTCTTCATGATCCAGTCGATCACCAGGAGAAAGGGTGAGAGTAAGCAACCTTGCCTAACACCCGTCTTTACTTCAAACGAGTCGGTGAGTTGTCCTCCGTGGACGATTTGGCAGTTTAGTCCATCATAGGAGTTCCGTATGATATTGACTATCTTCTCAGGCACGCCGTAGTGTCGAAGAAGCCTCCATAGTGTTATCTTGTCCACACTATCAAATGATACGTAGAGTTGCGATTTGATCTGTGCACGATCTATCCTTACGAAATCCAGCTTGTTGATCTCGAAGTTGGGCGTCCAAGGAATCCTTCATCCCGTTTAACAATACTCTGTTGAAGACTTTTCCTGGTATTGAGAGAAGAGTGATGCCCCTGTAGTTGTCGCACTTGTTAAGATCGCCTTTCTTTGGTGTCTTGATCAGAAGTCCTTTTTCCAGTCTGTTGGTACTTGTTCTTCGTCCCAAATCTTACTGAAGAGGATGTGGAGTATCTTGGAAGTTGCTGCTACATTTGCTTTCAGTGCCTCTGCCGGGATGTTGTCTGGTCCCGGTGCTTTGCCGCTCTTGATTTGTCTAATGGCCATGCTGATCTCTTCAATTGTTGGTGGGCCAACATCGATTGGGAGGTCTGTGGGTGCTGCTTCGATGTTGGGTGGGTTCAGTGGAGCTGGTCGATTTGAGAGTTCTTTGAAGTGTTCTACCCACCTGTTTCACTTGTTTGTTTGCCTCTGTATATTCGGCTTGTGCCTTGGCATTTTCCGCTCTTGTTCGGCTGATATTGACTGCTGTCTTCTTGTTCTTCCTTTCTTCAATCTTATCCAGTGTATCAACAGTGATCCATTCCTTGTGATGGTGCTTCTTTTGGCCCAGAACCTCCTGACATGTTGAAACGATTGCCTCCTTGTTACCTTTCCAGTTGCTCTCCATGGTAGTCCCCTCTCCATTGAGTAGATTGTAAAAGGCCTGTAACCTGTTTCTGAGGGCTATGTTGAATTTGTTGAGTTTGTGAGCATCTCGAAGAAAGGCCGTATTAAACTTTTGTGATGTTGTCCGCGCCGTTGTCCAGTGCTTCTTAAGTTTTAGTTTCATCTTGGCGACCAGCAAATGATTATCGGATGCTATATCAGCTCCTCTTCTGCTTCTCACATCCTCCATCATACTCCTGAACTTTTTGTTGATGCAGATATATGGTCGACTTGATTCTGTGTAGTGTGATCCGGTGAAATCCAAGTGACTTTGTGTATGTTTTTGTGTGGGACTATGGTGCCACGTATGACCAGTTTATTGAAGTCACATAGGTTTGCAAATCTCTCACCATTTTCGTTCCTTTCTCCCAGTCCATGTTGTCCCATGACGTCTTCGTATCCAGTGTTGTCCATTCCAACCTTGGTATTAAAATCTCTGATCAGAATGGTCAGGTCTTTGGTTGGGCACTTCTCGAAGATCGACTGCAGCCTATCGTAGAATCGATCTTTAACGTCTTCATTGTAGTCGTTGGTGGGCGCATAGCGTTGGATGACGTTCATTGTAATGCTCTTTCTCTTTGTTTTGACGAAGGCTTTGATGATCCTTGGTCCATGATTCCCATCCAATAAGTGCATTTTGTGCTTTTCTGGACAGCATCAATGCAACTCCTAGTGTATGTGGGGCATTTTCTTCTTCATGACCGGAGTATAACAGAAGTTCTCCTGAAGACAGTCGTTGTTGTCCAACCTAGGTCCAATGTGTTTCACTGATTCCAAGCACCTCCAGGTTGTATTTCCTCATTTCTGCAGCAATTTGGAAGACTCTTCCGGTCTCCCACACTGTCAGGACATTCCATGTACCTATAAAAATTGTCGCTCTGGTTGTAAGAAGGTGCATCGACCTCATGACTTCCGAGGAAACTCGGCTTTCATCATGAAACGTCATAATTATTCCTTCTACTCCCAGGGCAGAGTTTGAAAGGTTTGAATGATTTTTTCTGGTTAGCGTTTTTTTAGCGAGTTGATTTTCTACGGAATGGGGTCGCTAACCCCATGCCCAACCCTCCTCCTTTACCCGGGCTTGTGACCGGCAGTAACCCCCAGAGGAGCTACAGGCGGAGTTTTATCACTGCATTACCCATTTTAATAAGATCTTTATCTCATTTGTAATGGCTTTGATTTACTTAATTGTAAAAAAATCACACCATGAACTATGTTGATAGTTAGTGCTTTATGGGAGTAGTAGTATTGCAAATCTTCTCACATGATTACGTAAATAAATGACTTGCACAAATTTCCAAATAATTTTACTCTAACAGGTTAAATTCAGTTACCAAGTGTAGAAGTCTGAATACATGCAGACCGAATATATATAATCATTTCATTTGTTAACAATTTTCTGATCAAGCTGTTTTGTACTACTTAAATTATATTTTTGACTCTTATTAAATCAATTCTTGTTGAGTGGTCAGCTGTAATCAGTAAAAGCTTTCTTTTATATCAGACTGACTAAATTCATGGCTTCCAAATGATTATTTCCAATAATTGAATATCGGCCTCAGTGCATCACTGAATCGAATAAAACATGTCTAAACACTGGCTTGTTTTCTAATACATTCTCTATCGAGATGTGCTTTATGTACATGCAGTATACTTTCAATGTCAGTTTTTTTCAATAGTCTGTCGTATACATATTATAATATGAGTATTTATTTTCCTAGCAACATTTAGATGTTCTATGCAATAATAATTACTAATAAGTGAATTCTTAGCCATTCTCTAATTACAAAATACGTATTGTGCTTGATATTTGATCATACTGTAAAAGAATGATAGTGTAAAGACGTATGCTTTCTGTAATTAAAGTCAGTATGATATTCACTTACAGCAGAAAATCTTATAACATAAAGTGTGACTACTAGGAATTATTACGATTTCTCGAAAATTACCTTTTTTTACCAAGAGCTCAATCACTTTGATTTAAAAACGAGATGATACAAAGTAGTTCCTTTTTCGCTAAGTTTTCATCGTTAGCGGTTCATCCCTAAGGTCATGTTTAAATATGCAATAAATCCAAATCTAACGTGATGTGATTTTTTTTAGCTTGTCGTAAAACAAAATCTATTGTAAAAAATTATTACAAGTCCTTGTTCACTGATTTATCAATGGCTAGAATCCAATTATTGTTAGTAGCTTCTGTATTGTTGTAATTGACTTAGCCCAAGATATGTTTGAGATGGTTCACTGAAGAGAAATCTAACAATGATCTAATAGTATTTCTATTTTGTAGTTTTTCTTAGTTACATAAAAATATCCCAAGTTGTCAGAAATAATATGAATACTTTCTGTCTAGCGATATCACCTGATTATCAACATAAATACGAAGAGACCATTAGACCATTTAAGTTACATTTAAAGTAAAAAAATTTAATTTAATCAAAATTATGTAGTATGTGCAAACTAAATATTACAAAATCTTCGTAGTAAGCAGTACGCTGGTAATTTATTGGTCAAAGTAAACAAATATCATTTACTTTTTTATTCATGTAGGCGGTATGACATTTGAATTATATAAACGTAATGAGGAAATTTTTTGTGAAACTAGTTTATCCAACTTATTTTTATTTAATATTAATTTATAAGCATAAGACTCCTATTACCTGGAAATTTTAAATGTCTATTATAAAAGTGAATGAGAAAAAGAACTTCCTAATATATGCTTCATTTTTCAATAATAAATTCTTAAACCTCAGAAAGCACAAAATCAAATTTGGAATATTTATATTGTGTACCCTACCTAGAACACATTTCTATTTTTTTAGTCGGTACATAAAACCACAAGTACTCTTGACTCTAAGTTCCGCATCGTCCTTTCCCACCGAGCCATCATTCATAGATGTGATAAGGTGAAACTCTCTTATTGGGCCACATCGACGTGTATCTCTAGGTTCACTTGCTGTTGTGTAACAAGATACATAAGCTGCATAAAAACGAGCGCTTTCCAAATGCTTCTCTGAACGTAGTTCTGCTTGTCTTTCAAAAGGTTGTTGTAGATCAATCAAGAGTTGAATATTAGGATACCTTTCGAACTCTGATCACATGACCTCATCTGAGAGATCCTTTAAAATGATTTAAATACTCAGACGATTTCTTTAGAAAGAGCACAAATTAATAACTTGTGCATCGAAGAGGCATTAATAATCCATTATTTTACATCTGAACTCTGCATGTACTAGAGAGACGTGTAAGCCATCATTCTTCCATAGGCCTTACATTTAGTTTTCGTAAATGGTTATTTGATTTTATCACATCCTTTTAATGTTTCCAATCTTTTAGATGTTTAATATGATTTCATAGTATGTATTAGTTATTCATATCAGGTATTTAAAAAAATATGACTACTGAATATGGAGAAGTCAGTGATTTCATTTTACCCTAATTCATATTAATATGAAGTATTTTTCTTATCTTCCTTTTTTGAAAGTTGAAATTAAAATATTACATTTGAATCTTTCATAAGTCATTTTAAGGCTTCGTGGCAGGTTACAAATAATAGTTCATGAACTATAAAACAGATATTTTTCTTGGCTTATCTCACATTAATATCCTTGAAAATTTGATAATTGGAGTCATCACTTAAAAAAGATAGATCTCAACAAAATAATATTGATCTACAAATGACGAAGACAGCTCCACACTAAGATGAGAAGAGTATAACAAAGATGGTTTGAAGAAACTCAGAGAATAGAACAAATCTTCAGACAGAGTCACACAATACAAACGGGTAGAAAAAACTATTTCTAAAAAAAGGTGTACGTAAAAACCAAAAATATTTACCAAACAATCTAGATAAAAGTCACTTAAAATTTGCAGAGAAAAATTAGATGAGCCTGTTTTAAGTCGACTTCTTATTGATGGCTGAATTAATGCAAACAAAACATTAATACACTACTAACAGTTTCACTTTCAGGATGTCTGGTACACAACTTATCAGGCCAAAAGAATCACTACAATTAATACAAGGTAATTTGAGGAGCACTATGATAAAGCAAGATAAACTGAACACCAAAAAAAAACTAAGTACAGTGATTTGGAAAAGCAGACAGTTGAAATTTCGCACAAATATCTTATTTTAAAAGAAAGTACTGCTAACTACTTATGTAGAAATTATAATAACACATTTCTAGGTGATGTTTTTGTCGGAAAAGGTGATCGAGAAGATAAACAAAACTGTGAGACCGACCTACTCAGTTTAAAAGATATTAAAATACCATAATTAGAACTAGTCGACAAAATAAGATACTATTTGCTCAAGCCTAAGGCAAGTAATTTGATCTCATGTATATTACCTATATTTACAGGAAACTATGAAAATGATTGTACAGACCGATAAGAAAATTAGGTTGTTGACTTACTATTTACAAAAGGCAAACTTTTCTGCCGACACTTAGTTACTACATATTTCTATTTTGATATATCTAATAAACAAATGGAAGGTGTTTTTTTTCAGTCATCCAATGTCAAACTGCAACAAAGTAATACATATTGTTCTCTAGTTTTGTCTTTTGCAATTTTTAATTTCAGTATCTCTTGTTATCACGTTAACTTTCTCATATTGAATATTTCTTATAGTATATATGCAATGATTTCTTCAAATGAAAAAAGATCAAGTCATATTAAATTTCATTGTGTTGTTTAATGTCCATATTCTTTTTAAGCTGTGATAAATGACCAAATATTTTGCAGAGTTCAATCATTCGAAAACACTTTTTTATCCCTGTCAAAATTATCAACAAAATTAAAATGAATTAACAGTGAATTTTTTGAGTGAAATTACTCTATCTTAAGAGATCCTTCAGTATTAAGAGACTTGTTATCATACATTCGCTCTCTTACTGTTTACTATTTTCCGTTTGCTTTTGTTTATCCAAAATGCATATTTCTTTGTCTTCCAGTACGGTTACATCTTGACGAATATATATGTGCTTTTCAGAGAATCTAATGAATCATTGTGTTAGATATAGAGTATTATAAACATCCATTGATTTGATCGAAATGTCTTTTCGTTAACTAATGTCCTTAAGCATGCTTAATTCTAGAGTGTTATTTTTTAAAGGTTGTTCTAGGTTGTTTCAGCAGCTTCATATTAGCTATCAAAATATATTCATCAGATGAATGTAGTTTGTGTTTTACAACCGTCTTAGTTGCAGACTGAACTATTTACTATCTAAAAGATTTTAAAATCTACAGGATAACAAATCGAGGTTCAATATAGTTATTCTATACAACAATGACTAATGTTATTATGTGGAAGTCAAGTTTTTAAAACGTCTCAGGAACATAGAATTCGAAATTAGTTTTTATACGAATAACATCTTAAAGGAATAACATATAATATGAATTAACACCGTTGGATGCCAGCTCAGTGGTCTATCGGTCAAGTGCTCTGGCGCGAGACTGGTAGGTCCTGGGCTCGAATCTCGCAAGTGAGGGATCATGGATGCGCACTACTGAGGAGTCCCATAATACGACGAAACGGCCGTCCAGTGTTTCCAGGTTTTCCATGGTGGTCTAGCTTCAATTGACTCATGACTTCAACTATATATATATATATATATATATATATATATATATATATATATATATATTTGTATATTAGAGTAAAGCCTAATGAGAATCTAGGTGAGAAAAAAATTGTTCGTTTATATCTGTTGTTATATTAAAGTTGGCAATTTCCAAAGTCTTTATAAATAAAACTATAGAAAATTTACTAGAGTAAGTAATAGATACTTAAATGCGATTATATCAAAGTATTAGAAACACAACATTCAGTTACAGAGTACAAAAACTAGAATCATAAACTGTAGCTTATCCTAGAGTAAAGATCAAGCGTTACTGCACCTGATACCTTCGATTTTATGAATAATAGACTGCTCAGTATGACTTCCACTTCATTGAAAAAGTGAAGAGATAATGACCCTGGAAAGTAGGCTTTAATGCTCAGTTTCGTAAAATTCAGTTGCGTAAACGTCAACTCATTGCCATTTATGTGAAATTGGAATCATAGAAATGACTAAATTATCTAATAACAACGGAAAGAAAATTATTTAATCACTAACTTACAAGTTGCAATTGAAATTAGAAACGATTTAATTCATAACAACTTTGTTTCCATATTAACTCTGTAAATTTAAGAGATAAGGTGAACAAATGAGAAGTAGCAAAATGAGGTGCCCAACATACTTTCTCATCCACTCTTATGTTCTCGCTTACGTAATCAGATGAGGGATTAGCATGTAGTACGTCGTGTATCAGTATCAGATTTTGTACGTCATCCATCAAAACAATGCGTTTATTTATTCATTTTAAAATTCACTTAACTAATCATTTCCTTTAATTTATGAATAGTATGTTGTTATGCATTGTAAAGGTTTATTAGGATAAAACAATAGTAAATATACGATACATCTGAGAAGTAGGAGAGATATAATTCAAGATGTTTAGACAAAATTCATAAATTTGTTAAGGATCATCATCATAGATAATTAATTTATAAAACAAATAGATCTTATAGAATGGATCAAAAATTGTAAAATTGATTTCATATAAATATGATAGTAGGTTTTCGTCACTGTTTTCGTTTTAATAAAATTTTAAATATGAATCAGTGCAGTATACATAGATTTTATATATTCAGCATGTGTCACATGAATAAACATTTTATAAATGATCAAAACTAGCACTATTGAATTATAATTTTTAAAAAATTCTAATTTACAAGCACAAATTGATTCAGTTAAATTATTTTGATCATTGAAATGTCTTTGGTTGTTGAAATGTGGAATTGAATAAAAGAATTTTGAAAGTTTGTGAACCTTAACCAAAAAATCCCGAAAATTCCATCATGTGTACTGACGGAGACTATATTCTCAAAATAATAGATGTTTCAGTACCGTGTAATTTTTTAATTATCTAGTCAGAAATTAGTTTTATGTACTTTAAAGGAAGTTATGAATGGGAGCAAGTGGAGTTTATTATCCCACAAATTTCGTGATTTATTATTTCCTCTTTTTGTCTACCATGGAGAATATTTAAAAAGAAGAAAATTTAGATTTCTTTTTAGAATGCAATGCATTTCAATACAAAGTTATTAACATTGATCAGAATTAGATTCAAAGAACCGACATTTGTGATTTATTTAAAATCTGACTACCAATCTAGGCAAGTTGACTGGTAAAAAAGTATGTACTCTGTGTATATGCAGAATTTACAACCATTTCATCAAATATACACCAGATTAAGTAAATTTGCTAGCTCTTCTATTATTGAATGTGATAATAACTATCAATAATTTGAAAATGTGTAGAATACATAAAATGCTCCTATCTGGAATCTGTAAATTAGGAATCATATGTTAAACTTTATTTTGGTTTAGTCCGAAAGATATGTTTATGGGTACGAATGTATTTCTTTTGGTCTACAACATAAATTTTCGAAAGTTAGATAAATTAAGTCTTTTGAACTTCCTAAATGAAAAGTTTCATAGTCTTTGGCTCTGAATCGCAAAACGGAAACTACGATATAATAGCATCATATTACTCCAAAAGTATATGCATTTGACTATTTCATTAAATGGATACCCTTATTTACTTCAGCAGTTCAAACGTTAACGAAGTGTGAAGTTGTATACTTTAGGATGGGTTACGTTTTGGAGATTTGAGAAGTTTATAGTACTACATAAGATACAGGTTCGTAATTTGATCAACAGCTGTTAAGCGAAGTACTTCATAATTTAAGGGCTCTGGCTCGAGACTGGTAGGTCCTGGGTTCGAATCTCGCGAGGGCGGGTTCGTGGATGCGCACTGCTGAGGAGTCCCATAATAGGACGAAACGGCCGTCCAGTGCTTCCAGGTTTTCCACGGCGGTCTAGCTTCAATTGATTCATGATCTTAACTATAAAATTAGAAAGTAGTTTTATTGACAGTTAGTTAAAGGCTGGAACATAATCACATATATACTTAAGGCATTGTTTATTCAAGATCAAAGCAACGAATAATAAAAAAAGATTCCATGAAAGCTAGGTAAACAAACCGGGATGCGAAAATTCCATTGATCAAAATCTGTTTTGTTCATCCCCGATAAATTCAATATATGACTTATTTACAATCCCTAGCAAAATTTAGTAGTACAGATAGTAGTGTCCTAAAGGAGATAGTAACTGATATATGAATATACTGTGCTCGCTTTGTTTCTCTGAGACAAGCGAAACTGGGTACTCCAAAAAAGTATTAATTCTTATGTCTAATATAACGATAGAAATATAAACTACAATGTGCTCAGTGCCACACCACGAGGCTCGTCGGTGAGAGCAGTTTTGCTTTGTGCTTGTGAAACCTGGCCTCTCCGAGTTGAGGATGTTAGAAGACTCTCTGTGTTCGATCATCGTTGTCTCCGAAGGGTTGCTGACATCCAGTGGCAACACCATGTTAGTAATGCAGAGGTTCGGCATCGTGTGTTCAGGAGCAGAGACGATAATTCAATTAGTGTCACCATCTTGAAACACCGACTTCGGTGGCTTGGACATGTTCTACGAGTGTCGTCCCAGAGACTTCCACGTCGTGCATTATTTGCCGACCCTGGGACTGGTTGGAAAATGCGGAGAGATGGTCAGTGTATGACATGGTGTCGTGGTATGAAAGAAAGCTGCAAAGGGCTAGCTTGTGTTTGTCCTTCACGACTCCCTGGTTGGGGTCCGAGGGATGGTGCAACACAGTGGCTAGAGACGTTATCAGATATGGCGCAGAATAGAAGCCAGTGGCGTGCCTGTTGTAACCTTCTTTTACTTTCTTCATAAAGAGTGATTATAGCTTTCTTAACTGAGAGAGTCCTTCTGGTTGTACATTTCAGTTCCCCCATCATTACTCTTTTCTTTTTTTATCCTTTTATCTTCCCTATGTATACGCATCTTCCCCCTTTCTCCTCCCATTCCCATTATTTTGTGTGGCGCATATGTATCTGGTGCCCTTTTTTACCAATATGTGTTTAAATAAATTAATAAATAACTAAAACTACAATGTGGAGCGTTATTGCGTAAACGATGTATTGAATGGGAATCACAAATAAGAAAACCATATTAGTCAAGCAGAAAATAACAAGAACTTCCGAAATATGTTTACTTATCTAAATCATGTAATTTGAAAGTAATTTAAATTGTTAACTGAAACCAATGTAAATATAGAGATTTGAAACTGTCTACTTTTCCTAAGAAAAACGTTATTACGTTATCGTTTGCGCCATTGTTATTCGCTTTATTTCTTTTTCTTTTACATCGTCTAGAAATATTAGCAATCAAGATAAACGAATTCCTCTCATACAGAATTATGTAATTAATCTGGAGCTAGTTAAAAACAGCTCGTCAACATTATTCTTTTGATTTACAAGCAAAAGCACAATTCTCCAACCTTTTATGATGGTTTTACTATGCGGATGCTAACTTATTGGTTGATTATGTTAATGTCGTGATTCATAAGTCCGATTCATGTATAGTATTTTTAAGTTCCCTGTATGCTTGCTACAATGGCTATCTAAGTGAAAAGACGATGATTAGGAAGTGTCAACTGGCAAAAATATACAATCTGTACACTTCATATAGGTATATATGTTAGTGATCAAGAAAAAAAATCGTATAAATAGCGACCATGTCTAGATTAATAATTTACTTCAACAACGCACCTCATTTTAACTTTTTGCTTGCTGTTAGCATTAAGACGTGTGATCTATCTGCATTCCAAACATAATACATGCTTATAATCAACCGTTATTTCAGTTAACTATGGTAGCACAATGACATGATTTTTTAAATAAATAGCTGGACTGAAAAATAATTGATTGAGGGGATACAAATCTACTCAGAAAGTAACAAACATTAACATCCACAACTGACAAATTATTTTTGGTTGTGAACAGTATGTTAAGAAAACTTCACAAAAAACCGTTTCTGAATTTCCGATTTATGAACCCGAAGAGTTTACACAACAAGCCACATGGAAGATGTGAATACTCCTATAATATATGTTGCAATGATGAAGTGCTGCAAACGATTGACAACAATCTTAGTACATGACATAACTTTGTGACCAATCACAAATACGTAGAAATGGTTATTTAAGAAAGGAACGTTTTGATCATTTAATTATGTCGTTCATTGATATTAATTTCACGTAAAGTGAACGCTGATTTTATCCAGAACGACAATGAAATCTTTACAATTAAACCACCTAACTCAAAGAACACAATATAAACAAATACGTTTAATTGTACGTAGGTTTTAAATTATGTGGTGTTAGTAAGTCGATAGGGAAATCAGGTAGAACATCAGACCTCATTTATAGGTAATACTTTTCAGGTTTTGTTCCACATAATCTAGACTATTGTCACTTTCTACCGTTTTCATATGGGTTTGTGGTGATCTTGTTTTCATTACCTTTAGTTGTTTTTCTGTGAGGCACAACAATCAGTTTATTTATAGAATAACAAGTGCACAGTAGTATAATACCTAGTACTGGTCATTATATATATATTCTATTGGGGACTACCAATGTCATATAGCTCTATTTAGAAAAATTTGTAATAGTATAGTTTGAATGGGTAAACTAATAAGTAGGAGAAAATTGTTTGATCGAAGTTGAAGTCAAGAAAATGGTTAGTTAATTCAAATGTCTTTTAAAGTATATAGTCAAGTCCAGCTGGATATCTCTATAACGATAATCATCACCACATAGTATAACTGGTTTATCAAGTACAAATATAAGTGATAAGGTTTGAAGATATACCTTAAGTGAAAGTTGAGTTAAATTATCCGCTTGTTCAGAACAAAGTCCCAGTAGCAGGGTTATGATCAGATACCTAATGGATGAAATTTAAGTATCATCAACGTAAATTAAATAAGGCATATTTATATAAACGTGATTCGAGTATCAAAAATGTTTTTAGTATCCGACGCGTTGTAAAATAACTCGAATAAAATAAACTTTAGACTAAAATCAAGGCACTCATTACAATGTATTTGAGTAAATTGACAGCATGAGGTCCAACTAAACTCCGAGATATGAATGAACACAAAAGTCAGAATGAAACAAATCTGGTTGAATATAATAGTTAGAAATATTCAAATAGTGAATAACAACAACTGATCTTTCATCTACGTTATTGTCGATCACATTTTTTTACATCAATATTTTGGAGGCCTGTAAAATCCAGGGGATCATATGAAGCCACAAACTGAAAAAAACACTGTTTCGTCCATCTTTCGAGACTTCTATTTTACTCAACTGGACCTCCTAAAACTTGTTCACAAGATTCTAGGAAAACTTTACGTCAAAGTATTATTTTGACTGTGTTACAAAAATGTACGCTCCTACAGTGAAATCATCATGAATAAATTCTCATCTTCGTTCACTTAAGTACAAAACATGTTACAGCATCACTACTATTCCTACGTACACAGAGACCGGTTATTTATATTTAGAAGTTTTCATGTTGGTAGGTAATTATGATTTTCATCAAATTATAAAGGACAATTCCAATAAGCCATTTACAAGTTATTTATTAATAATATTGAACATCTAACATATTTTGTGGACTTTTTATTTTTTTATTTGCACTAATGTCAGCCAGTCGTCAGTCAGCTACAACGTAGGACCAGGCATACATATGCATCGGTCCAAGTTGCCATACCTCGTTAGCACAACAAGATAAACACCAGATTCATAGAAATAGTTAATTTAGTGGTGGTAGTATATAAAAGATAGGTTGTATATAAGGATATAGTATAGGAAGGAAGAACGTTATGAAGCAAGTTTGTTCTCAAGGTTTAAAGGAAGATAAAGAGTGCATACACCTACGCCATTGTGATCGATTCTGAGCCATGTCGCCTAGAGTCTCCAACCATTGATAACGATAGTCACGCGAACCCCAACCAGGTGGTCTGCATCTGCCAACATGGCTCAGACCAGAGGTTAGTGACTTCAAGCACTGATGCCACGTTTTGGTTTGGCTGTCCCTAACTCTTTTCCA